ATCTCTTGGGCTCAAACCTCCATCCTCATTTTGAGGAACAAGACGATATACTACTAAAACCATTGTAAGGTTGTTGTCAAATGCTGCACAATATTATATTTATTGATATCTAATTAAACCAATAATTTTAACAATTAAACCAATTAAATCGGTCAAACCAAAACCCAAAAGTCAAAATAGTTTGACTCTCCATCCAGTCTTAAAAACACTGGTTTAAACTCATAAAATTTTTCGTTCTTAACGGTAAAAGGACAAGTTAGCTCATGTATAAAATTAGGATTTTATGAACTCATGCTAGACTTATGGTGAACTCACAAAATCATTTGGAGTTGGATGAACTCTCGAGTTTACCAAAATTAGGCTTTTGCATTGGATTTCAACGGATTGGCTTTGAGATTGCCATCCATCCATCCAATTTAAGGAGTTAACTTTGCTTGATTAGAAAATCTCACTGACGATCTGTTTCCAAAAGGAGCAAAGAAAGAGGGAGAACGGAATGGAGCAAAAATGGAAGAAATCTGTTGCCAAAAAAATAAAAATAAAAATAAAAAGAGAGTACATAAATAGAAAGGGAGCTTGAAAGGAGCAAAAATGGTAGCAAAAAGTGAAAATGAGAACAGAGAAATCAGGGAAGTGAAGGGATTGAGGGGTAATCTTTTTAATGGGACATATGTTGACAGATTAGATTGAGTGTTTTTTCCTTTTTTTTTTTTCTTTTTTTAGATAAAGGAACTGAATCTAATTTAATTTAAGCAATAATCTCCCTTTTTTTAATTTTTAATTTTTTTACATTATAGCACATTTTCATATTGAAACTTTGTTCTTGTTAGAATTATTATAAACTTCAACTCTGCATTTGATTCTCTATTGTTGAATTCTAGTTAATTAATATAAATATAAAATTTTCAAGTAGACGTATCCTTTCACCTATACATACAAAAAATTGTATATTCTTTATATAAATGATCCTTTTGATAATTGCATGCAGGATTAATGTTTGTAGACACTAAGAAATGGCATGGCGTAGACTAGAGCGACAGCTTCTAATGGTTTAGATGGAGGAAACAAGGTAGCAGCTGATGGCAAACAGGTGAAGCCACTGTGGAGAATATAAAGGAGCAGGGAGTGGAGAAAATGCAGAGTATTAGTAAAGATGATCATAGCTCTAATGAGGCAAATCATCATGAGACTGGATTGATGGTTTTCAACGTTGATTATAAGTGCTCCAAGGCACCACTCCCCTGCGACCAACTGAGCGTCACTAGAGTAATTAGATGAATAATAAAGTTGATGTTGGAGAATCTGGGAATAGTCGTGCTTTTCTAATCTAATTATGATTATGAATGCTAAATTATGGTTATATGATCATATGACAGTAGTATTGATCCTACAAAAACATGCTACACTTTGCTTTAATATTTTTAAAAAATTGTTTTACCATCTCAACTATATTGCATTGTAAAGCACGGAAGAACCCTCTCTATCAGATGACTTTTGAAGGAGTTAGCTCTTACACAGCGCCGAGCGCTATTTACTATTTTCTTCTCACCCCATGTATGGTATCCCAATAAGAACACGAATGGTGTAAAATTCTTTTAGTTCATGTTAGTATGCGGCGCGGTATCAAGGATGGGTCAGAGGAATTGGGTCGGGTCAACGGCAAGTCAATGAATTTGATAGGTCAAAGGACTTGGATTGACCTATGTCTACGCAAGTATTACAGCCACTAAGTTGTCTGGACTCAACGCCAAATCCCAGTACACTCTCTTAGTCAGCCAGCCGCCTCTCTGAACTACGGTACCGCCTCCAATGTCCGCCGTTACCAGCCCCAACCCCCACGTTCTGGTGTTCCCCTACCCAGCTCAAGGCCACATGCTGCCGCTTCTCGACTTAACCCACCAGCTCTCTCTCCACAATCTCACCATAACCATCGTCATCACTCCCAAGAACCTCCCTTTCCTCTCCCATCTCCTTTCCTCCCACCCCTCTATAACCCCCCTCGTTCTACCCTTCCCTTCCCACCCCTCCATCCCCGCCGGCGTAGAGCACGTCAAGGACCTCGGAAACACAGGAAACCTCCCCATCACGGTTTCTCTCCGCAAGCTTCAGGACCCCTTGGTCCAGTGGTTCGCTTCTCATCCTAACCCACCCGTCGCCATCATCTCCGATTTCTTCCTCGGGTGGACCCAACATCTCGCTGGTGAGTTAAATATCCCCCGGATCACGTTCTACTCTTCCGGTGCTTTCCTGGTTTCTGTCAACTTGTATCTGTTTAGCGATGCTGAAAAGTTTAAGCCTTTGAAAGAGGTGGAATTTGGGACTTTACCGGGCGCCCCGGTTTTCAAGGAGGAGCATTTGCCTTCTATCTTCCGCTTTCACCGGCGTTCCGATCCGGCTTGGGAACTTGTTTTGGACGGCATGATCGCAAACAAACGGAGTTGGGGTTCCGTTTTCAATTCCTTCGACGCTCTCGAAGGCAAATACCTGGAGCATGAGACAAAAGAAATGGGTCACGATCGGGTGTTCGGTCTCAGTCCGCTAAGTTTAACGGGTCTGGACCCATCAGCCCGGGGAAATGCGGATTCAAATCCAAATCACCGGGTGTTGACATGGCTCGAAGGGTGTCCGGATGGATCCGTCGTTTACGTTTGCTTCGGTAGCCAAAAGCTGTTGAGCAGGGAACAGATGGCGGCGCTTGCAGCCGGCCTAGAGAAGAGCGGAACCCGGTTCGTATGGGTCGTGAAAACGGGCACAACCCAACAAACAGAATCCGGTTACGGAGCCGTACCCGAGGGCTTTGAAGAACGTGTGGCGGGCAGGGGGCTAGTCCTTAAAGAGTGGGCACCACAGGTGTTAATACTGAGTCACAAAGCGGTGGGTGGGTTTCTGAGTCACTGTGGGTGGAACTCCGTGCTGGAGGCTATAGTGGGTGGGGTCATGATCCTGGCATGGCCAATGGAGGCTGACCAGTTTGTGAATGCGAGGTTGTTGGTGGA